CCATGTCCGGTTCTGCAGCTGGAAAATTTCTGGTAGGTTGGCTTCTTTAATTCTTGAAAACTAGTTGATTGATGGTTGCCTATGTTGTCCAAATTTTTGCTAGAAAATGGGAGGAATTCCGGTAGCTTTAGGACCATGATTTAGCTTAAATTCAAGTGGGATTTATGTGATTGAGTGTTAATTGATTGCTGTGATATTTTGTGTGAAAATCCCGTGAATTAGCTAGTGTTTTGGCCAATTTTTGGAAGTTGGAGTTACTGTTCACGTCGGGGGTACTGTTCACGGGGTACTGTGCACGGCACTGTTCACAAAACACTGTTCACACACCGAGGGTTAATGATTAACGGGGATTTAAAGGTTTAGTTTGTGATATAAGAATGAATTTGGAGATGTCCGGTTATGTGGAGATTGATAGAAATAGTATCGTGATTAGGGGTAGTGCTAATGATGATTTCACTGTGAAATTGTGGTAATACGGTATTAATTCTTGGATATTGTGATTAGGTTTTAATCGTTCTGTCACCTTAGCATTTGGGTTAGCCTTCTGTTCTGTGCGAGTGAGGTAAGTAAATTATGGTAAAGCCCTTCGATTTCAAAGCATGTTTTCAATTGTTTTTGAGATGGTGGCAAGGTTTAAATTGATTTTAAATTGATTTTATCAGCATTTGAATGTGATTAAACTGTCTATTTGGCATGCTTAAAAGTTTTACTCAAGGGCTATCCATATTTACTTACTGAGTTATCTCATAGTTTTCCTTGTCCACCATTTCAGGAAGTGATACCGAGGACGGGGAAACCGAGGGGAGTGTCGAGTTAGAAGGCTAGTCACCTGGAATTTGATATAGATTTTAGATACAAATTATGATCCTGTAAGCTAGAGTGTATTTGGAGATTTTATGATATCAAAGCAGATTGTAAAAATTTGATCTTTCGATTTGGTGGTATCCGATTATGAATTGGATAAGTTCCGAGCCTTGTGCATTCGTGGGACCCGTCTCATGAGTGCACGACGTCTGTCGCGTCTCCGGATTTGGGTTTTGGGGCGTGACAATAGATGAAGCAATGTTATCTTAATATAAAAAACCAAAGGTTTAAATATTTAAAAACTCTTAAATTAAGAAAATGAAGAGTCAATGTTTAAATAGATAAATGCATACCCTCCCATCATCTTTGATAACATCCTTTTTTCATGATTTCTCTCTATGCTCTTCCATATTCTTATCCTTCCATCTTCCTCCCCATCTTTAATCGTTAGTCACTTTCTCTATAATAATATATCATATTCTCCTCTTTATCACTACAATTTCTTTTTACTAACATGGTGAGTCCCAAATATATATATATATATATATTTTCATGTTTCATATTATAACTAAATATAATATTATGTTTTATTTTCTTGTGCCTTGTTTCCTCTTTGTCCAAAATATGTATATATTGTTGTATGAAATAAAATTACTATTTTTTTTATGAAAATTTTATAAAACATATGATGTTGTTTTTTTAAAAGAATTTTGTAACTTTATTTGTTTAAAATTTATACATTCTTTTCTTTATAGATTATTAATGGATTTTTTTGTTTTGGTGTGTTAAGAAGATAGCTTCACTCATGAGATTGGAGTCAATTAGAGCAATAAAAGTGTTATTTTATACATTGAACTAAACAAGAAATGTGTGAATTTGATAGAATTCAAGTCATCTGAAAATATATTTTTTTTTTATTTTTGCAGGAAAATATTATATTTCTTATTTTATTCATATTATATTGTTATTAACTTTTTAGTCCTTTTACTTATAAATTTTACTTATTAACCATAAAATAAAATTTTGCAAGTCAAGCAATTGTAGAAGAAAGAGTTAGTAAAGACTTATGTTAAAAAAAAAAAAGGAGAATTGT